ACCCAGTCTTGACTATCCTCAAACAGTTTCAATAACATCATCATTCACGGCGTTGGTTTTAAATTTAAATATACGATATCTACTCCGAGAGTTCAATTATTTAGTAATCACGAGCATCTGGGGCTTATCAAATCCCTATTGACCTTTCAGTTATGTTGCCTGTAATCCTACACTCCTTTAAGAAAATAGCCAAACACGAACGCGGAAGGGAAAGTTAATTTGAGTGATCCATTCATCTGATCGTTGCATATATTGGGCGACATTGTGAATATTCATGGAAAGCTTATCGTAGCAAATATTTTGGATTTGAAAATGGCTATATAACAATAATTTGGTAAATTCAGCAAAAACTGTCAAAGTTTCCGTCCGCATGACGCCATTAATGACGCAAAATTACGCACAACTACGATATTTTATCTGCATTTCTGACGGACTGAATTGGTCACAATGGAACACATTAAGTAAATATCAATGTACAGATTGCCAGGTTGTTTCTGATTTCTTATGAGCCCCTCTTAAGTACCTGCGTGCACGATCTCTGAATGAACATTTCTTCTGAACGACCTAAGCACGGATATCAATGCACTTTTCAAGGTTGGTCACAGATTTTTATTGGTATGTCTTTGATTGTTTGTTGTTTAACGCTGCACTCAGCAATATTCCAGCTCTGTGAGTTATCGAGTCTGGACCAGACAATTCAGTGATCAACAGAATGAGCATCGATAAACGCAGTTGGAATACGACAGCATGTGTCAACCAAGTCATCGAGCCTGATCATCCGACCCGTTAGTCACCCCTTTCGACAAGCATTGGTTGCTGAAGACCAATCCTAACCCGGATCTTCACGGATGTCTTTTCTTTGAGGCGAAGGTAGATCATTCGATCATTCACACGATCATTCTTTCCTGCTAAATATTACGCAGACATACTGTCGAATATGCCTATCTTATACGCTTTTTAATATTGCCAAGGACATTCATATTCAATATCATATCCAATATTGAGATTGGCCATAACAGTATTGAACACTGATAATTTTCTTTTTATTTCAACTTTATTCACATAAGAAATTCAGATAGTGTAGTATATTCCAAAATATGTCCTACCACCAGAAGATGAAAAGAAAATATATTATTTTTCAAAATGTAGACATTTCCAATATAGAGAAGTTTTCATGTAATTTCATATTCACCAATCAATAATATATACCCCACGTTTAGCAATATTCCAGCAATATCACGGGGGGGGGGGGGGAGAGACCAACAGAAATGGGCTCCACACATTATACCCATGTGGGGAATCGAACCCGGGGTGTCGGCGTGACGAGCGAACGCTTTAACCACTAGGCTACCCCACGGTCCCTAGTGCGGTGGTGACAATAGCTGTTTGTAACACCTATGAGTCAAGGTCAAAGTTCTGTCACAGATGACACCGAAACCAGTGTACGACTTCTAAATCAATGTAATTGTTCTCTCTCTCTCTCATTATTGTATTCACTAATTTGATGATATTTAAGTATGGTAACTAGTGAGTATGTTGTAGCTTCGGGAACTGGCGGCTGTCCAGCAAAGCAATGTGTACTTGAAGACAGCACTACCATACTGTTACGTGAGTTCTACACTGAAGAAATTAGTTAACTTTCGAAAAATATTCCGAATAAAACCAAGAAACAACAAAGAATTGTTAATCAGTCAACAATCGTATCAATAATTTAATTTCACAGATCAATGCAAACTGCTTCGAAGGTATTAAAAAAGCAATATTGGTAATAGCAATTAAGTCTGAATGTCCAGGGTGAAATGTCCAGGTCAAGGTTTAATGTAAGATGATTTAACTGCAATAAAAAACTTTCAAAATATTTCTTTATTAAGCTGGACTAATCTATGCTGTTCTAGAAGCTTCCTTGCAACTCTTGACCCCCACTATATATATAGTAACTACATGTAGCACACCACGACCATCTAGTGAACAGAACCAATGTAATACAATTGCAACTTTCTTCAACATCATGCTGCCACACTACAATATCACATGGCAATGCAGTCTGCGGTACCTTGTTTATCACCACTGTTTTTCATTGTGACATTGTAGAGGATGTCTAATTGTAATCGATATTTGTCACTTACCTAGTAATTTGTCAATAGAAACAGGTAGATATCTTCAAATAAAAAAAGAAGATAGAATATGCAAACTGTGTGATTTGAATCTAATTGGAGAAGATGAATATCATTTTCTTTGTGTCTGTCCAGCCTACCATACTTTAAGAAATAAGTATAAAGAAATATTACTTTGTACATCATAATAATGCCTAATAATATCGTCTGTATGCATGTAGGCCTGTGGCCTCTTAAGTGCAGATAAAGACTGAATACAGCGGATACTGTTCAAACCGGACTCTGACTAATCTGGATTTTTTTTCATACTGAACATGTACACTCCGGTGTACACAACAATTTATATGTCTTTGAAACCTATCATTATTTCCTGTTTCAGCATCTCTCATGTTATACCCTCACTAATCCGAACCTCTATCGGAAGCGGACTAAACTTTCGGTCCAACAAATGTCAATTCTGGATACATTCCAAGGACCTCTGACTAAACCGGACAAACTTTCGATCGGTTATATCAGGTTCAACTCTATGCACTGGCCGCATGTAGTGTAAACAGACATATTAATGTCAAACAAAATTCAAAAAGTGAAAAATGGCTCAACAACATGCTCAATGTTGCAAGACATGTGTTAATGGCTGAATCCTAAATAGAATCAAACAGCAGCCATACATTTTCTGAATTGTACACTAACAGTCGAACTTTTGGCCCTGGTGGTCGTAACTTGCTGGGGTTTCCAACGCATGCTGACAACGGGAAGTTAGCGACATTTTCTATGGCTTCCGATAATGCGTCCTATCATATGTGTTCCACGCGTGTCGCTGTTTTAATGTTCTTTAACACTATTGGGGCGGTGGGGTGGCCTAGTGGTTAAAGCGTTCGCTCGTCACGCCGAAGGCCCGGGTTCGATTCCCCACATGGGTACAACGCGTAAAGCCCATTTCTGGTGTCCCCCGTCGTGATGTTGCTGGAATATTGCTCACTCTTTAACACTATTAGTTTCTACTGCATGACTGCCGCCTGTAAATAATCGACTCTGGACCAGACAAACCAATGGTTAATATTATGAGTGACATAGTCACAGACCCCAAACATCTCATCAGTTATGGAACCACTCGTTAACAATTTATAACAGATTTATCAGAACTGAATACCTGTGTCATCAAAACACGAAACGATCCGTGAAGATCCGGGTTAGAATTGGTCTTCAGCAATCCATGATTGTCGTAAGAGGAGACTAACTGATCGGATTGGTTGAAAAGTGTCATCGTATCCCAATTGCGTAGATCGATGCTCCCGCATCACTGGATTGTCTGGTCCAGACACGTTTATTTACAGACCGCCGCCAAATAGCTAGAATATTGCTGAGTGCGGCGTTATAAAACAAACAAACAACACAAGAAATATTAACTTGCCCTGGAACTCGTCGTCCCTGGAATAAGCATGATCGAGTTTCGCAAATGCAGGTTCGTCAATAATGTTAAGTTTATATGTGCTTTATTTCTATTTACGAAGATATCGCTATGCGTTGTCTTTATTGTTCCATTCTGAAGACCATAAAGGGTCATTATCTGAAAATCGATCTGTATTTATAAAGTAAGACAGACTGATAAGCTTGATCACTCGATGGATTGAAGCTTAAGGAAGGCAATCGGTTGGAAATCAAAGAACAGCTCATTGGTTGTATTGTCTGCTGTAACTATGGTAACCGGTCACTGTGTGGTAAACTTCTAAATAGTTCGAGCTGAACTTTCCAGATATCCCGGGGAAGTACTTAGACAAATACACAAAGGCATTCCGATCTTGATAATCAGTATTTTCAAATAAATGCTTAGTCTCCGTCCCTTGGAGAAAAGATAGCTGGGTATGACAGCTATATACATGTAATTCTGTGTTTGTGTACATGACAAACAAGGAGTCCATAAATACCGCCTAACATTTGCCATACTGACGTAAATTCTGTCCCGAGACAAACTACTTTATGTTGTTGTTTTTTCCATTTTTGCATTTTCACCATCAGACTTATTTCTTTAATCACTTATTCATTCAGCCCTGGTGAGATGCTTGATGTTTCGTATTACTTTTGTCTTAGAAGAAGTGTACTCTGAAAATTGGAATGTGTACATAGGTTTGTACGGAACAGATTTTACGAAATCGGGCGTGTATATATTTTATTTTAAAAAGAGCAATACTTGAGTCCGTAATCTGTTACTGTAGCTTCAGTGCCAACTTGAATAAACATATTAGTGTAACATGGTTCGTAGTAGAGTCAGTGAGTGAGTGAGTCAACATTTCACATCGCTTTGGCAATACCTCAGTCTAATATCAAAAGTGTTTAAACATCATATACCTGTCTCAAAGGAGAGTAAAACTCTTTGAGATACAAATTACATATTGAATATAAAATAACAACTGATTAACAAAGTAACTGTAACTGTAAAGCAAAGTAACTTCACACATTGTACCCACGTGTGGAATCGAACCCCGGCTTTCGGCGTGATCAGCGACAGATGTAAATGATTCACTACCCCACCGCCCCTCCACATTTCAAGGGACCATGGGAGTGAGTGAGTGAGTTTAGTTGTATGCAACCTTTTGCAATGTTCCAGCAATATCAAGACGGGGGGACATCATTAATGGTCTTCACACGTTGTACCAATCAGGAGAATCGAAAAACCGGGTCTTCGACGTCACGCCTCTTTAACCACTAGGCTACCCCACCGCGCCAGACAATGGAAACGTGCAGTGCATCTGTTCTTACATGGCTCCCCAGGCAGGCTGACATCATCATTTCAACCCCAAATTGGTACTAGATTAAGACTTAGGCACAGATATATCCACTTTATTGTTTCCAATTTTTATCAGATACTTAAGACAAGAAGCCACTTACCTATAACAATGGGGTAGAGTCCAGGTCGTGTTGTGTAATAATGCAACATTAGAGATCCATCAGTATGAGATTCACATCTGAAATCAATAATATGAATACATATAGAGCACTGAGTACATTAGGGACATCTAAGTACATATACATTTAACGAGCTGCGGCTGAAAGGTTCTGAGCTTAACGTGGATGGACAAGGTTGATGGAGACTATGACTCGACATAATCCTTCCTGATCCACATCCATCTGACAACGATGCTAGATTATCTGCTACACACTGGTGTATACTGCTTCTTTCCGGCTTTGTAAAACATATTTCCACTTTACGGAAATGACGTCATGTATTTCAGGAAACAGCTCTTTGAGGTGAACATGTGAGGAATATCTAAGGACGCAGCGGAACTTACTTAAAGCTTTCTCAAACCTTTGTCATGCATAGTTCATTCCTCTAACTCCCTTCTCATATGTCTGCTGTATTGGATACGTCTCTTTTGGTTATTTGTATACCAGGTATTTTATCAACATTTTCCTAACCAGCGACAGTTGAACGTCTTTCTGTTCTTGACCTAGGATCAGCTTCTAATCTCTTTATTCCACCTCTTAACACTGGCATCACGTTCTATTCATATGTCTGCTGTATTGGATATACCCTATTGTTTAGTATCAAGTATTTTTCAACATTTTACTGAATGGTGACAATTGAAGGTCCTCCCGATCTTGATCTTAGATCATCTTCTAGTGTCTTTATTCCACCTCTTAACTCTGGCAAAACTCTCTACTCATGTCTGCTGTATTGGATACGTCCCTTTTGGTTAGTCGTACGTCGGGTATTTCATCAACATTTTCCTAACCAGCGACAGTTGAAGGTCTTTCTGTTCTTGACCTAGGATCAGCTTCTAATCTCTTTATTCCACCTCTTAACACTGGCATCACTTTCTATTCATATGTCTGCTGTATTGGATATAACCTATTGTTTAGTATCAAGTATTTTTCAACATTTTACTGAATGGTGACAATTGAAGGTCCTCCTGATTTTGATCTTAGATCATCTTCTTGTCTCTTTATTCCACTTCTTAACTCTGGCAAAACTCTCTACTCATGTCTGCTGTATTGGATACGTCCCTTTTGGTTAGTCGTACATCGGGTATTTCATCAACATTTTCCTAACTAGCGACAGTTGAACGTCCCCCTGATCTTGATCTGGGATCATCCTCTAATCCCTTTATTACAACCCTTAACTGTGGCAGCACTTTCTGTTCACATGTCTGCTCTATAGGAAGCGTTCCTTTTGGTTCGTCGTATTTCAAGTAACTGGCGACAACTGAACGTCCACCTGGTCTTGGTCCATTGTCATATCCGAAGCTCTCTCTTGCACCTCTTAACAAGGGCAAACAAAGCATCCTCCTCAAATGTTCGCAGAGGTTGTCATGGATAGCTGTTGCATTTAGAGATATATTTGATGACCAATTTTGTAAAAAAAATGCCAGCGAGCCTAACCTACAGATCCCGCTAGTTGCCTCTTACGACAAGCACGAATGGCTTAAGACCAATTCTAACACAGATGTTCATGGTTATTCATCAACAGAAAATACATGCATGTACTGCTTGGTTCTGTAGTTGGTATTTGTAAGCATGGAACCCGTGAAGATCCGGGTAAGAATTGATCTTCAGTAAGAATGGGAACTATTGTGAAGGGTGTACTCAGAACACAGTCACACTTTATATCATCATCACATGAAGCACTTTGAGTAGATTAGCGTAGACAGTCGTAAATTGGTCATTATTTTACCGAGCACTACCTAAAAGGGAGACTACATGCTAATGGACCATGCTAGCACATTCCCGACCTTGAAACACAGTTAGTTCACGTTCTGTTCTGTACATTTGATAACTCTAAACAGAATATCACTGTTTAACTGAAAGCTCTAAGGGTCCCCCTTTCAGAGCTTATAAAACTCTAATTGCTGTACACAAATGCCTCCATTGGTAAAAAATGAACAGCGAAAGGCGACTATGTGGCCATAATGTTTGCGTGGGATAGATGGAATATTTTAAGAAGAAAATATTTCTTTCAGTAATAGATGGATGTTTTTTTCAGTATTATTTGCTTAACCTTCTCAGCCTTAACATGTATTCCCTTTGGTCCAATATACTTTTTTAAATTTTCACACATATCCACATGAATGACAAATGACTTGACCATTAATTTTCATTTAGATACAACCATTATTTAAATAATGCAGTATTAAATAGGTAGCAACATATGAGGAATATTTTATTAGATATGTACATGTATCAACAATAAAAAATATATATGTTGCTTTACGTTCATCTCACTTAAAATCAACTTTAAGGGATTATTTAAAGCGCAGAATAAAAACGGTTATTCTTTATGGCGTTTCACGTGCCGATATCTTCCAGTCATTGTTGATATATTGCTATATATTATTCGTTGTAGAGTGTTGGGATTTGGACAGAAGTCGATAAGACAAAGATGTACCTACTCACCTGAAGCATGGCGCCTCTATGTTCTTGTAGCTGAGAGCCAGTAGGGAGTGGAGAGAGTCAAGGTTAGATGTATCTACTCACCTAAAGGACGGCGCCTCTATGTTCTTGTAACTGAGAGCAAGTAGTGAATGGAGAGAGTCAAGGTTCTGGATGAAGCTTTTCATGTCTCCCCCCAGCGTCTTCAGCATCTTGTCGTAGCCATGACGAAGACAGTAGATGACGAAGTAGTCGCCAAATACCTCCAACACCGCCTCCAAAGACAGATCTGGCAGACAGAGGAAGTGATACTGGAATACAGTTCTTTCGGCTGAAGTCTTTATCAAATGAATTTAGTACCATTACTACTTCCGTTGTGGCTGCTTCTGGTACTGCTACAATTGATGCAGCTTACTATTGATGATAATACTACTTCGTACAGAGCCTCCTGCAGCCACTTCTGCAGCCACTTCTGCAACACCTACTACTACTACTACTACTACTACTACCACCACCACCACTACTGCTGCTGCTGCTGCTGCCACAAGAGTCACCACCTCTACTACTACCACTACTACTACAACCAACACCACCACTACCACCAATACCATCATCTACTACTACTGCTACTACTACTACAACTACTACTACTACTGCTGCTACTGCTGCAACAAGTACTAAGAATCCATTTGAGTTTGAGTAAGAAAATTCATTGTGAAGCATTCGGGAACTGACGCCAATGTTCATAATATCGATCACTTTTTTGCACAAACAGAACATGTACAGGAAATCGTACCAAAGAACAGGTAAACCAAGTTTGAAGCATAAAAAGTTACGAAAATGTTATTATTTCTATAAATAAATATTATTCCCGTAAAAGTCCGGGTTAGAATATTGATCTCCAGTAACCCATATGCTTGTCGTAAGAGGCGACTAACGGGATCGGGTGGTCAGGCTCGCTGACTTGGTTGACACATGCCACCAAACTTACTCACTCACTATACATAAATATAAACTAACGGCACAGACATACAAACTTCATTCCGCCCTTTCATCGTTGACTCTATCTCTCCTTTTATGTATTCATATTTGTTTTCAAACTATATTCCTTTGTCCCCGAATGCATATGGGAGTCATATATTTCTGCTCGCTTGGATCATTCATCCAACTATTAGACAAGAATATTATCATTATTAAAACTTTAATATTATTTCGTACAACACATTCGACGAGTATCACTTTCTGTCAAAAATATAGGAATTTAAACACTGGCTTGTAATTATCGGCGAAATGTTCCAGCTTGGAATTAGAGCGAGCCGGCAAGTTTTTAGCAATATTCCAGCAACATCACGGCGGGGGACTCCAGAAACGGTCTTCACACATTGTACCCATGTTGGAAATCGAACCCGGGTCTTCGGCGTTACGACCAAACGCTTTAAATGTTAGGCTACTCACCGCCCTCATGGATTTAGAAAGAAGGACTTAACGTTATGGCTCATATTACAATATTGTCATAAGGCGGTTCTGAATACCCACAGCAGTCGGAACTAACAGTTGACTTTATTCCGTTATGATGATATTGCAAATACCAACATCCTTAAACCAATGTCCACGACTAAGCAAACATACTTAACTACGTTAATTAAAACGCGCTGATATACATCAAATATTTGCTCCATTTGCCCAAAGAACATACAGATGCCCCGATCTTGGATTATGAATATTTACCAAAGAAGACTGCGCATAAATCCGTCGGTGTTTAATCAACAAAAAAGAAGCGTGGTTAATGACATCTATATTGAATTTATCAATCTGATTCATTAATATTCAGGTCATACCTCCTAAGGGTCAGAGTGACACTGGAGCAAGTATGTTAGGTTTGCCCTGTGGATAACCAGGGCACTGGTAGGACGCATTGCTAACGCGTGGGACCAGTACATCCCCTCGCAATCAGCCCTCAGGGCGAAGGGTTCGCAAAGACAATGAATATGCATGTATCGGACATCGACATCGCTCTCTCAGCCCTGTTTTAAAGTCATATCACAGTTCTGCCCTTCCGTGGTTTTGGGAAGAGAGTGTGTAAATCGATCCTTATGCATTTCCTCGAGAAGTCTGTGTGACAGGGAGCGTGGTTGATGCATGGGGGTCAACTATTTGGCGTTGTAATTTGAAAGAAAGTAATGACAATGTGTGGTTTATTTAAGAAGGAAGATGTGATGTCTAGAAAATGATGATGGATTCAGACCGGTGAGGCATTAGAAAAATCTAAGACGGTTTGTGTGAGTGAGTGAGTTTTACGCCGCTTTTAGCAATACTGCAGCAATAGTGAGTGAGTTATAATTTAACGTCACCTCGGCAACATTTCAGCCATATAGTGACGAGAATGGCTGTTGGTACACGAGGCTATTGAGCACATGTAACATATTTACATAACTTGATCAATCGTCACATTTCTGTTAATGTATACCCACGTAGCTGGTAGATCTGTGACATTAATGTTTAATTATTCATCACACTGATTTTTGTTTATAAACATCAAGACGCAACTGCGTATGTGACAGAAAAATTATTCATGAGATTGATTTGTGCTTATGTAAAATCAAAAGCTGGAAGATCATAATTTATTCATGTATCCCTGTAGTGAGATTGTTTTCAAAAAATGGAATCGTCACAAATTGTTTTGCTCCTAATGGCCCTGATCGTTATAGTGTTTACCGTGGTTATTTGTTGGATGTTTAACGCCACACTCAGCAATATTCCAGCTACATGGCGGCGGTTCTGTGAATAATCGAGTGCAGACACGACAATCCAGTGATCAACAGCATGAGCATCGATCTACCCAATTTGGATTCAGCGACATGTGTCAACCAAGTCAGCGAGCCTGACCACTCGATCCCTTTAGCCGTCTCTTACAACAAGCATGGGTTGCTGATGATCAATTCTAACCCGGATCTTCACCCTTCGGTGATAGTGGTATTCTGGAAACAGTTCTAAGGTTCATCGGGTGGTCAGGCTCGCTGGCTTGGTTGACACATGTCATCGATTCCTAATTGCGCAGATCGATGCTCATGTTGTTGATCACTGGATCGTTTGGTCCAGACTCGATTATTTACAGTCAGCCGGCATATAGCTGGAATATTGCTGAGTGCGGCGTAAAACTAAGGCGAACAAAAATTATCAATTAAGGTACGAATTCTTTAGTTTGGAATCTCACCTAAAACTGTAGACACTGCTCCGATCAGTTGGAAGGTGAGTTTGTCTTCGTAGCGGTAGAAGACTAAGAAATGGTCGTGTTCATCAAGCCCGGACTCCTCCCTGCAACAAAAATGGTTCATATTAAAACATATTTCCCCATGTCGTATAATGATTGTACGGAAGCTCCAAAGGAACATGAATAGGAGTACAAATAGTTGATATATATAGTTCACACAAAAACTAAATCCTGCATAAAGAGATTGGTTTGGTTAGGTTGTTGTATAACGCCGCACTCAGCAATATTCCAGCTATATGGCAACGGTCTGTAAATAATCGAGTCTGGACCAGACAATCCAGTGATCAACAGCATGAGCATCGATCTACCTAACTGGGATACGATGACATGTGTCAACCAAGTCAGCGAGCCTGACCACCCGATTCCTTTAGTCGCCTCTTACGACAAGCATGGGTTTTGGATGACCAATTCTAACCTGGATATGCACGGTTCGACGTGAATAGAAGGATACCAAATTACGAAAAATACCAAAATGCTAGCTACACGATCTAAGCGGTCACGGAACATGAAAAAACACATGCTATATGCACGTGCTTCCGTGCACTCGGAATATCTGTTGTCATAATCTGTGTTGGCACCAGTTTCCGATTGCGCATTCATATGGTTTCATCGCTGGTTTGTTTTTACGCCAAATGGAATCTGCTCCAGCAAAGAATAGGGACCGAGTTTTTTCTGGAATTGATGTTTAATATTTATTCAGTTCCGTCAACACAACCTTTTGAAACTGCCTCAGAGGAACCCTTTCTTTAAAGCACCATGCATCAGCTAAAAAGCGATTATATTATTACAAAAATGTGGCTCAGAAGGGTCTTTGTGGGGTTGCCAATTTCAGGGCAGATGTATTTGCTTAATTGACTCGGTGAAATTAGATATTGATAGATTTAAAATTTAAAAATTGTATAAAGTGACTATGATTAAAAATAATATGGACGACGTATGATAAAGACTGTTTGAACATCACAACTTTTGTAACTGCATCATTGGAAAAGTTGCAAAACTTTCAGAAATCGTCTTTTTCCTGTTTTACATTGTACGAGGTATTATAGTCTGTTTTCAGTGAAAACGTACCGATGAATTTCACTCTAAACGACAAGGTAAGTCAAATAAAGTGAAATTAAGATTGCGAATCCTCATAATTTTACCTTGCCAATTGAATATTTAAATCTCAGAATTTTATTCAACTTAGGATAAAAGTTGTTTAACAAACGATCATAGTTTCATATTGCTATTATTGGTTTGTATTACAAGGGGGTTTGCACTTTAAATGAAACACCGAGAACAAGTAGTGTTGGTTTAAGTTAACGCTCATCACGTACCGCACTTTCATTTGTTTCACTGTTCCATCTACTGCGCTTACCCCCTTGTAATACAAACCAATAATAACGATTTGAATCTATGATCGTTTGTTAAACAACTTTTATCCTAAGTCCAATAGAATTCTGAGATTTAAATGTTCATTTGGCAAGGTAAAATTATGAGGATTCGCAATCTTAATTTCACTTAATATGATTTACTTTTTTGTTTGAAGTGAAATTCATCGGTACGTTTTCACTGCAAACAGACTATAAATATTCATTCAGACGTCTGTTTGTGTGTAATAGCAGTATGTGTAATATAACTTCGTGAACACTAATATCGAGTGAGTGAGTGAGTGAGTGAGTTTTACGTCGCATTTAGCAATATTCCATCAATATCAAGATAGGGGACATGGTCTTTACGCATTGTACCCATGTGGGGAATAGAACCCGAGCAAACGCTTTAACCACTAGGCTACCCACCGCCGCCTGAGATTGATGTATTCTTTCGGAAAAGAATCTGCTAATAAACACAACCGAAGCGTGCCTATTATGTTATATCATTAATTCATTCCTGTTTTATTCGTATTCGTATTCTACTGTCTGAGTACGTGTTACAAGTGTTAAGACGACGGTTCGTAATCATCGTATGACTTTAGATCTGAAGTTTACACTTCGGCAATGTTAGAGTATCTCCGTATAAAGGTTTCAAATACTGATACATTTCTGTAAATAATGTGAGTGATTCGTTTGAGGCAGTTACACAATAGTGGCATCCTGAACGGGTAAACGTGTTTAGTCAAGACACTATAGTACTTTTTGCAGACAAATGATTTATAAGCAAAGACAAAAATACATTTTTAACATAAGAATTGTCTAATTTCAATAGTCAAAAAATAGGTTATTTCTGATTGGGATACAGATATTAGTCTGCAAAACCACGTAAATGTGATAATCAATTATACCTGATCCCGTGTTGTCATCAAATGGTAATTGGTAAAACATTAAAAAACAAAATACATCAACTTTCTCTTGAAAATTGAATATTATATTTTGTAATTATTTCTGCATTCCAGCACTCCTTTCCAACGAGTACGTTAGAGGCTCACCGAGTAGGATTCACACACCAACTCGTTTCTTAATCGTTGTGCTACAACCTCTTACCATAGTCTGACACTACGTGTTTCTCAGATAATCCATCACCGACTAAACCCGTAGAAATTGTGATCAATAATTACACACGTTCAATAGCTTTGGTAGTCTGAGAATAATACAAATTTGAACAGTTTGGAACAGAGCTTTGAATGTGTTTTGTATTCTATCTTTAGACAATGGCTTTTCGATCTCTCATTAATTCTACAGCTGCTAAAACAAAGAATATATTGAACATAAAACATCAAATTCGATCAGGACAAAACGCAAATAGCATCCATAGGATTAGAGATAAAAGAAAAAGTACATATCTTAAGTAAAGGTCGAAGAGACGTACACTCTCAAAAAAGACCAAGCACTAGCTTACTCCGTAAAAACTTCCTATTTTATACAGTGTGTACCCAGACCAGAGGTTTCATCATGTCTCTTCCAAGGAACTAGTAATACGACTACCCTTTCAAATGAGTACACTAGTTGTCAAAGGAAACGTTACCCTCTTACCTTTATAAATCACTGAAAAACTATCAAAGATATTTTAGAAGGCTTTAGTTTACAAGAAAGCTTAACAACACAGCTTTATGCAAATTACGAAAGAAAATCTCAAATGCATTCATATTTGGGTGAAATTGTCCTTTATTCGTCCATGCCGAAATAAACCAATAATATTGATTTTGATGTCCAAAAGAAAGGTTGCAATAAAATTCTGCTTTGGTACAATGATAAACCATTTAAAGTCACCATGTTTCAACTATCAAGACAAGAAACAACGGTTGTAGAGTGTGTAGAATTGTAAACTAATCATTTCTATGATTTCAGTCTTTCAAAACATTTTCTGCTGATTTGCATCAGTGAAATCAAGTGAAACGTATCCTTGATATTGTGAAAAAATGTTTAGGAACATCTAAAATTATCTTTGTTGACATTTTTGCTTGAAAAAAGTAACATTTTTCCATTTTCTGTTTCCACATAGCAATATCAATCGCCAAAACGCAGCAATGTTCAAGCAGTATTTACATCCATTTCACATGTGGAATGAGTCTATAGGGTATAAAGAGAGCCTAGAATACATGATCTCATACACAAGTACGAGAAATATGCCACGAATAACAGCTGAAGGGAGAGAAAGAGCCATTGGATGGTGCAGATGGGGTCGACATACAATGCTGTTGCCAACGACCTCGGATGCCACCGTATCAGGGTTATAAGACTTATTCAGGGCTTCAGACAGACTGTGATCACCGTAGACAGACCAAGAAGTGGACGTCCACGCATCACAACGCCAGCTGAAGATAGGTACCTCCGTCATTAAGGAAGGAGGGTAACGTTTTTTTTGGCGTTAAGTGTATTCTGTTTGTTTGTCTCATAAGATATGAATCAGTACCTTCGCCACTTACTGAGAGACATTGCGTGGTCAACATAATATGAAGAAGTGTTTATAAGTGGATGTATCAAATTACATTGTTGGTTATGTATCATTTCTTTTCCAGTTGTACAGCCCCTTTAAGACCCACCCCCAAGGCGACTGAAGTAATGTCCCAGGCAGCAACCATTTCCAAGATTGTCGATCTGATTCAGAGCATTGGCTGGGGAAGAACCCAATCATTGACTCAAGTCACTGACCATCACCGAAATTAGCACTCCGTTGCCATATTACGGCTCAATTGGAATTGTCGTGGGATTGTGAACAGCTTTTGACCAGTCAATGGACACTGCTTCTGACCAGTCTTTGTGTAGGCACGAATTACCCATGTGTCGTACGCTGTCAATATTAGACAACAAATTACTGACTATATCGGATTCAAAGATAGTGGACCATTTCACGCATGCTTTGTCCCTCGCTAACCTAATGAGGTTCACTATAACACTCCAGTGCTTCCTTATTCCCCGTGACGTGATTTGTGCAAGATTTATACATCTACATTGAACAAGAAGAAGCTAAATGCTGAATAATCTATTAGTGCTTCCGGAGTCAAGTGGTTTCTTCAAGGGATGCCACTAGCGTACCATCATGTGTAATTCTTGCGTCTCGGTCAATATCAAAAGCTTGTTCGTCTGATAGTGAGTGATTAATTCGAGATCAGCCGGTGGAAGCTAATGGATATTTGGCCGCGTGGCTAGCCTCTGTGACGGCGGAGCCTTCTGAAGCATCCTTATTCAATACATCTTGAAGAAATATGTCAGATGATACATACATTGTGTCGTGTTAACGTTACGGCGTTGACGTTAATCGCCGTCTATAGCTTGTCATTTAAACATTACGCTGTTATAATCCTTTTGACTAACGCTTGCTTGTGAATTCATGTAACTTTTCTTGGATAAGCAAGACAGTCTCGTGCATCACCAGCTTGTAGGTTAAGCTGGTGAGAACTGATTTCAAATAATGTTGATATACCGAATTGAATGTTTTTTGTGAATAATGGCTCAACTGTCGTCACCAGTCAATCAGCATCATAAACGCGTGTGTAGTGTTACCTAAGAACATCGTACTAAAGTTATTGATGACTGTCGTGATGATGGTGACGATAATGATTATGCAAAGCATATCATTATCATCATCATCATCATCATTACGACAGTCGTCAATAAAAACAGCAAAG